TATTATTTTTACTTGCGCGCACTTCCCCTCCCGCCCTAACTTTTAAACTCTTATAACTTTAAAGTTAACATTTAAGTTTTAAAAGTTGCTATCATAAAAACTAGTTTGGAGGAGTAGGTACATAATAATTTGTTGAAAATTGAGATCACATTATATAAAAATCCTATGAAAAAAAAAATTAAATTATTAATTAAACCCAGTGTGATATTGATGTGCCCATGATAAAAGAATCACTCTGTATATATACGTGTGTGTGTGTGTGTGTGTGTATTATGTATATGTAAATTTATATGTCATTCATCAATTGAATTATATCGCTGGATGGTCTATTATGACAGTTCTAAGTAGTTGAGACAACGGCAACTGGTAAAATGTAGACGTACAGGCTGCTTAGGAATATATTGTGACAAGATAGATGTTGATGTATTAGTTGGTTAAACATCATTACAGGTTATTAAGGTTAAAAAGTATTACAAAAATAAATTCGAATACATGGTGTGCATAGTATAAACCTTTAGAACACATGCAAACTCAAAGAATTATTTGTTTAACGATTCGCATCATTTAATATACTCGTATATTATTCAAGTATATATTATGTAATGTGACAAAGTAATTATTTTTTTAATTACTTATATAAACTTCGTACATACAAGTTATAATTATTAGTTTCAACAATTTAATACGTAGATTTATACTACATTATAAATATCTATAAAAACATCCCTATTGTAATTTTTCGATTGAATTTCTGAAACACCTCAGTTTTGTTGTTAATCAATAAATGACAGCGGTACATTTAGTGTTTCTCAAAAAGATAAACTGTTTTATGTTGAAGGTGTTTTAGTTAGTCTCAAATGAAATGTTTAATAATTTGTATTAAAAAAAAAAAAATATATTAGGTCAGATTTTTTAAAAATCAGAGTTATTAGACATTAATAGATCAGAATTTTTTAATAAATAATATTTGATCAGACCAACTTATACAAACACCATAAGTTAATAATATTATAGTTTCTACAATAGCATACAGAATTAAATATGGTTAGTATAAGTTTATTCACATTATGAATGTAATTTACATTTATAATTCTACTAAATATAAGTACAATAATATCATTTGTTAGGTAGCCCGTAGCCAGTTAGTTTTTCTTATAGATACTTGTTTTTTATTTAAAGATAAAAATTTCAAATAATGCAACAAAAGAGATTGTTAAATACTGTACACCAATATGTTTCTTTTAATATGAATTAAATTTCACTCGAAATACCTTAAATGGATAAAGGACTATTTTATAAGCCAATAAAGTATAACACTCATAGTTATCAGTGATATTACTATAAGCATATTATGTATATGTCATCAATCATATCGAAAATATAAATATTCATTTTTTTGAGTGACATGGATCAATAACGTCACACAGGAAAGTCCGATTAAAACAAATAAGCTCATTTTTTACTAAAATAAACAATAATACTCTCTCATTTTCGCACATGTGAGTGTGCATACGATTATCATCATAGGGTTAATAATACAATTATATAATTCAATACGCACAGGGGTTTGAAGTTGAGCGTTAAGACGCAAAATCCAGTTAATTGTCGGTTGATCGCACATCTAGGCGTCCATATGACGTATAAACCCACTGTGCCGTACTCTCAACATACAATGTTTAAAATAATAATTTGTATTTGCTATAAAGAATAATAATTATTATAGACTATGCACTGTCTCTTGATTATATTTCAATAAGTATTTTAGAACTTGTTAGTAGTGGGTAAAACTGAATAATATCATTACCCAACAATACACCGGGCAATCTGTCATCTATGATTAATTTGTAAGCTTTGGATTGTTTTGGAACATGCTGATGGATCGGTACACCTGAATACATTGATTCGCTTAGGAATATCCATTGCAACGTTATTCGAACTTCATTGTTAAAATGTATTTTATTTCTGTAGGAAAATTGCAAAGTTTTTTTTTACTTTAGTAAAAATGTAAATGCTGTTGCGTTTTTACTTAAAAACGGTAGCGGACCTTTACAAACTATTTTGTTAATAGATATTCATGAGCTCCAATACAATTGAAATGTGTGTAATATATTGTAAAAAAATTAATAATTAAACTACTTTTGAGAAACTGAATGGAAAAGATGTCTTTTTGAAATTACATAAAAAGAGAAATAAGCGTTTTAAGTTTTAAATGTTCATTGAATGGCAAAGAAGTTAATTTTACAGAAAAGGCGTGATTTCGGACTCTGATATTATATCAAAAGAACGCCCACATTGCCGGCTTTCATTTCATAAATATCAGTGAATTCTAAACTATTCAGCATTCTATTTAATTTGTATAAACCATACCGTAATTAATATTCTTGGTGGCTTAAAATAAAATATAAAGTAGAACCAAAGATAAAACTTACAATATGAGCATATTTTAATGTAGTAATTGAATATAATTATTTATAACTTGGTTTATTAAGTATTTAAAAATATTTTCTGAGTTATATTTAAAATTATAATACAAAATATTTAAACTGTACGTCTATTAAAAATATAATAGGACGGTTCGAGTATAGGTAACTTAGATTTAAACTCTAGACAAAAAATGCTGTCTAAGATTGTAAAGTGACATAAATAAATACAATAAACTAAAGTGTCACCAAAAATAAAAACTACAAAATTACGATTATTTTAAGAGAAACCGAGTGTCTGAACCAATATTTGGTATGTTTAAGTTTTTTACGGTATATAAATAAATGTACAAAAAAATATTGTTTTTACATTGTTGTGTGTTTTTTAGTCTTCAAATCTACACAAAATTGAAAAAAAAAGGTCCGCCAAATATATATATATATATATATAACACAAAACAACAGCTATATTCGACCCGACTCCACTGTGTTGGCCGCCTTTTTTTAAGTTAATTAATTATGAAAACATAATAATAACAGTATTATTATTTTCCAAACGAAAAATAAAAAATATTGTTATGTAAAATGCAACTGTTTTGCAAAATCTTGTAGGTTTGTATCTTTTTGGCTTTACCTCTTTTATTACTTTACTTTTCTTTGATATATTTTATAAGCTTATTTTTCTTTGCTAAAGAATGGCATCTCTGTGAAATGCAAAATAATTTTGAAAAACCATTGAATAGCTATTAATAAAGGATAAAATAATGTTTGACAAAAAAATGATTGCACCAAATTATATTTTATACACTTTTATTCACAAGTTTAAACTTGAAGAACTAAATAATATAATATATTTATATTGTATGTATTTAATTAAACAGATAAATAAAATGTGTTATATTTTTATCGTCAGCAATGATTTTCAATTAGTTTACTACATTCTACCACCATAAATTAGCTTCTATCATTATGAGTAACTATTATTTGCATTCAATTATCATTTGTTTATCATATTCCACTATTATTTGTTATTTTTATCTTCCATTATTACATTCATTATAAGAAATTTATTTTTGTAGGTATTATAATCTATCAATGACAAAGATCGTATTTGTTTAACGAACATTTTTTTTTAAGGGGAACGGAAAACGCCAATGCTGCTAAATGAATGGCTACTAGATCATTTTTTATCAAATATTTCCTATCATAGGGAAAAGTGCCTTGCCTTCTTATAAATAGCGCATTCCGTTCCTCATAAAAATATTAAACGCTACGTATTAGGGTTTATTTGTGTTTCATTTTACTATTAAGTCTCAAATTATTACAGCGTAGTTTAAAAGAATTATTCTAAGTATAAGATTATACTTGGTAAAAATGCTAAATTTTATTTATGAAACATAATGATACTAGTATGGAATTAACATCACGTCAACATCTCCTGTGGAATCTGTTAATGACAATTTTTATTAGGTATGTAACTGATATAAACTTGAAATATATTACAAGGTCGAATACAGTGATAAAAATTGCAAAGTGATGAAAAATTGAGAAAAACCAACTATAATATAGTTACATACTATAAGTAGCTTAATGTCTATGAACGGGATGAGTAGAGAAAAAGTATAATGGAAGCCAAGATCATTAAGGCCGGTAAGTATTACGGAAAAAACAATAAATAACCTTAATTTTATAAACATTAGAAATAGAAAACATATTATCCTCATAACAGTATTGCACAATACACACCAATGAGTTAAATAGTAATTTGTAGTGAGACGGAGAGAGGGATGGTGTGTAATAATTGTGACACGGCATGGAAATCAATTCCCTTTTTCGTGTTTGTTTGCACCCACAACCCCGAAAGACGATCGAGACATAATTCTCGATACACATATTATAATAAGTATACACGTACACTATATTATAATATACGGTTACACATACACACATGATAGTATAATAAGTATAATATAGGTAATATATATTTGTACAGATAAATAATAATGGGGAAATCAGAAACCCGAGTGGTTTCACCACCACTTCGTAACCTGTGGGTGGTTTGACGGTAGCATCGACAGTCGGGGGAAGGTGTGGAAATAACATTTCAGGCTATTGCGCGTTTGGTTCCGACTAACTGTGCGTGGGTCGCCCTTTCCGTTTGTCCATAATCTCCGTGCTTATGATAACCCTACACGATTCATTCACACGACTACTGTTGTACACATTTCATTTACACACTATAAGAGGCACCTGTTGTCGCGGTCGCGTGGTACAATGGTCTCTCTCGATCTGCTATTTTTCTTTCCATACGGGGCGGCGTATAGCTTCTCTTTTTTTGTTCACTCTCCTCGTCCTGGAAGAGGTTAAGGGGGAGCAACAGAACTGCCAAAATTTCTCCTCGTCACCGTCGTATCCATTGTTTGTTACACCCACTCCACCGATAGGGTCGGCCGGCCGCATTATGGTTTTTTTATGTTGTCCGCGCAACAGTGACGGCCGAATGCCGCTGCCGCCGTAATCCACGGCGCTGAACGCTTGAAGGCGGTAGCGTCGCGCGTTCAGTACGCCAAACGACACCGGCTCCTCGGCACGTTTACCGCGCTTACCATCACCTACATAACCCCCCCTTTCCCTCACGGCAGCGGCACGTATTGCCGCCGCTATTGCACTCACGCACACAAATTGCACGCTGCAAACTGCACTTAAAAACGCACTCACGCACGACCGCTAAAAAAAACCCCACCCAGCACTCTCGATTTCGTTTTGAGCACCAAGCACGTTTAAAACTACATTGAATACAAAATATTTAATTGAACAAACAATTGTTTTTTGCACACCTCGCACGCCTGCTCCCGTTTTGCACGAGCACGCTACCAAAGGGACTTAGAGCACGCCAATCAAACTTAAGCACCAGCCGCTGTTAGGAAAACCATAAGAAAATAAAGACAAAATCACAGGTCCGACCGGTTCGCCACAACAGTCGCCCGCAAGGGGTGACGCCGGTCGTCGAGCAACAGTCGAGCGCAAAAACACCGCGGTACAGGAGGTAATTCCACTTTATATATATTTTTTAATTCATAACAGAACACAGTATTCTACATATTCGTTAAGAATAATTATTATTGAATAGATTTTCAAAAATACATTTATAAGATATTTTTTTTGAGTTTTATAAATCAAGATTTTTGCAAAAAATTGTCTTTACCGAACACCTTAATACATCTGAGGGTTTACCGTAAGTAAATATTGTCGTTAACGTTTCTGCTGAAACTAAAAGCGCAAAATATAATATTAAAAATGAGTTAATAGTTTTTAAGAGTCTTCTACGATAAGTACGAATAACCGCATTTTCCGTAACGTCGGGTCACTAATTTATTGAATATATATTTACACTAATCACTATTATATGAAGAGAATGATTTACGATTTACGCGTATAAGCTTTTTTGATGATTCAATAATTAAAAGGATCACAAATTCTGTATAGTTCAACAAGAATAACAAACATAATATATTATATATACTACTAATATATTTTGTACAATGAAGTTTATAACTATGCAAGTTACTTAAAAATGGCATATAAATTATAGTAAACTGTACTAATATTGTATATGCTAAAAGTATATGTGGTTAAATAAAAAACGCCCAATATTTACTAGCACTGGGGAGTTAAGAAGCTAATGAGAAGTTTCCTTTTTATTCCTGGCATTAAATAAGGAGCGAATAGTGCTGAAATCCGTGCCTAAATATTGCCCAACTACCTACGGGGAAGATAACGAGAACTTTCCAATACCTCCCCAACATTGAGTAAATACTATTAGGGGAAGTTCGTATAAGGTCTGCCTTAAACCCATATATGTTTTTATTAATATTGGGTGAATAATAAATATACAAAGTGAGGCAACACAACGTTAGGAGTTAAATTAGAACGACGGAGGAAAATATTGGGAAAAATCGCTTGGAATAAGCAAATCTAAAACCTAGTATCAAGAACAACCTTAATAATAACAGGGTTTTAGAACGCTTACAAAACATGTCGGTGGCAAGAGAGCAGGTGGTAGGAAAAAGGTAATTTATGCGTATTTAAAGAAAGAAAGAAATTTAAATAATTAAAATTAATAATCCAATAAAAAAAAACTGGCAACATGGATTAATAAAGATAGATTAAGACCACTAAATATCTTTTGCGCCTTAATAAATAGTGCTTTCCGTTTCCCTTAACTTCGGAACTTAATCGATTTTACTGATTTTTATCAATAATTAAACTTTACATCATTAACGGCCACCTAGCAATACTAAAACGACACTTTATACATTATCCAAATTCTAGGTATAATTGATGAAAAATGCACACTGCAGTAAAGAATTAAAAAATATATTTTGGTATGATTTGGCTTAAGATGATTGTAGTACAAAATATATTTAGAAGAGAAGCCCAATGCTGAAAATCTTTACACCATCTTTTTAATTAAATATTACATCCTTCCTCATACTTTATACAGAGATCATAAACCACTGTAACCGTCTACATATTATGGTACTTACATGAGTACTTTTTAATACATTTTTATAAAAGTTTGTACTTTAATTTAACAAAACTGAAAACAAACATTTTTCGTAATGGCAGATTGTGCCATACCAAACTTTTTCAACAAAGCAACAGATTATAAAAAGGCAAGGAGTAGTGGATAGGGAACATATTGTTGAAAAACAGAGGTCACAAAATTTAACGCGCTGTTATAATATATTCAAAGTCCCAAACTTGAAAAGTTTCAAAAGATTTAGCAAGATATTGTTTTATCTACAGTAAACACAACGCGTGTACTTTAATCGATATTTATGATGAGTTTTTACATGTTTGATCGCTAACAAGCAATTCAATAACAAACATAAAAATGTCAATTACCATGAAAATATATAGTGAACGAAAAAGTTAAAAGTAAGTAGTTTCGTCGCTTTGGGATCAATCTGACATATTTAAACAGTTCGGAAAATCCTATTACAGTTTCTCTCGAGTAACAGCTTAAAAAGACCTTTCGATTAGTCGCAACAATATATTAAAATAATTGTATGACGTTATTGACCGGGAGTGGCTATAGCTAACTTATGCCAGTTAATACAACAACATTTTGCAACAACATATTAAAAGCTAAAAAGCATCATTGTGTGTCTACAATATAATATGTATTGTTTTTGTTCTATAACGTCAAAAATATTACTCTTACGCTGTTAGAATTTTTAGTTATTTTCTGCTAATAAAGCTGTCAACCAGTCTACAAGGGTTCGTTTCTTGCGAGGACATTTTCCAATTTTATGGTTTGAAATAGGTTTGACATATTAGTGGCAAGGACCGGTTACATTAGTTGTTAGCCTTAATATTTTTTCCATATCAATAAATAATGTCCTGAGATAAAGAACCATATTTTACCATATTGTTATATGCAGGTTGATTTGTATAATAAATGAAATATTTTGATTTGCTTTTAAATTTCGAGGTCTTGCGTTCTAAACTGCCAACCAAAATTACTCTTCTAGGTATTTTTTTAAATTATTAAAACTAGAACATTAATACAATTTTTAAATGGAACGTCTCTACGTGGAAATATAATATGCATGAGCCCTGTTGAACGTTTTTTATGTTATGTGTTCTAACCACAACGCTGAAAGTAAATTGTCACTATTTTTAGAGCTGAAATCGATCAACTAACTACGATTAATGCTAAGTTTGTTTATTTTACGTCTATTACTACCACTGATCTGGGCTTAGACGGTTTAGATTTGGTATTTTTGGGCTTAAAGATAGCTACCAACCTAACGCTACCAAACAAGTTGGCCCAGAGAAAGGTGCAGGTGGCTAATATTAAATTATAATTTCCATAATCTTACATATGAGATCAGCATATCTTTATCTAATTTAACTAGTTTATAACAATTCGAATTCTCTACAGCTCAATTTTTTTAAATAATTCTTTTTTTTTATTTTTCACTTTAGTTTTTTAATTCTGTATTTGTAAAATCTATGAATACCGAATCATAAGTTAGTTGATTAAACGTCCAAGTTAGCTAAAAGGTCTATAAGTTATCATTATCTTAAATAAAACACTACTGAAATCCGTTTGCCCCGTTAAGTAACACAGTTAAGAAAAACTTTGTTTTACAATTAGGTAAAACATATGAACAACACAAACAAGTAAATAAAAAAAAATCTATCCTCCCTTATTGCAAATATGGTCACTGGTAATTAAATAACAATAAAAACTCTACACAGTTGAACCGCTGAAGAAATATTTCATTTATTATTTATTGCTTATATTTATAGTATATTTATTTATTTATTATTATTTTAGCTTGATCAGTAAAAACGGCTTTTAATCATTTGTATTAATAACGATTTAATTAGAAACTTTTTTTAGCTTAAACATTTATTTCATAAAAATAATTGCTGTTAAGTAAAATTTTAATTACCCTATATATAAAAAACGCATTGTAAAGTGGGAATAAAACAGTCGTATCTCCAATAACACGAGGATAAAGGAAGTACTCATTGAGGTCCCGTGATGGTCTGTAGACTACCAGATAGATGTACTCGGATCTTTAATATGGTACGATATATTTTCTGTAATAATCTAAAATATTATTAACCGTTGATATTCCCAATAAGGTTGACTTTTACCTACCTTGGAAGGTCTTTGAACTAATAAGTTATTAATTTCGTAATGGTCATATACTTCTTCCTAATTGTCACTTCCTTGAAACTGTATTATGTGTTCCCATTAAATGTTATTAGATTGAACAAAAAACATAATACAACTCCCTGGAAATTCAATGTATTAACCGCTGAGTTCCTATCGGTATCACTTGTAAAGTACGCAGAAGGGTTTATTACATAAATATAATAATAATACTGTTTTTACCTAACTATGAAACAATCTGTTTCAAGTGTTTACACTGAACGTATTGCCTTTTATAAGTGGAAACACGATATCATTCCGTCTATGGTATTATCAATTTGTTCGGAATCATACAATTCAAATAATACGTTACGGGTTGAACTTGCTTAGTTATTAAATTTCGCCTAACTGATTTATTTCTAAAATATTTTCAAAAAAAAAAGCCATGGTCGAAAATGGAAAAAATGAATACATAGGACTAGGAATTGCATCAATTGTGGAGAAAACGAGAGAGAATGAGTTGAGATGATTCGGCCATGTTATGAGAATATATAAGGTAGAGGCAGTGAGAGTTGTAGTGAAGATGAATGTAGAGGAAAACCGACGTAAAAATGGATAGACGGATTAGACAGATTAGATATGAGAATAGCTGAGGTGATTGAACGAGATGTAAGAGATCGAAACTCTATGTAGGAGTACTACTAGGGTAACCGACCCTATGTAGATGAGAATGTAAGGCTAAGATGATGAAGGAGCAATGGTCGAAAATATTATTCACCACATCTATTGTGGCGCTGCATAAACTCAGCAGCGTACATAACACATCAGATCTAAAATGCGGGTTTTCCGACTTACAGTATACAGTTTTTTTTGTTTGTTTATCTTAAAATTTTCTGTAGGGTTATGTAAGAAAAATAAACAAGGGCTTAAATTACTTTGACTGTTGACGCGGCATGACTAACTTGCACAGCGAGTTCAACTTTATGCATTTCGTTTGATCTCCAAGACCTAAAATGTTGAGATAACGTCGATTTTTGTTAATATAGCAAACATAATACCTATGTTTTGTTTGTGGTCAGTGTAAATGTTTTACGTGTCAGACATTTTAGGAAAATGAATTGTTTGGTTTAAAAAATAAATAATAAAGAAAGTAAAAAATGTAGGCGCTTAACGTCCAAAACGTCTACATAACGACGTCATTACATAACGTGGGGTAAATATTATTTTATATTTATATACATATATATAGTGTACATTGTACAATATATGTATTATTGCGCCGGTAATTCAAAACATTAAACGCTTACTGAAAAAGTCCCGGCATAACTTTTTACACAGTCAATAAAACCTAATGGTAGGTACACTAGTTTAAG